TCGCTGTTCTGGTTATAATCGGGGACTTCGGTCGAGAACCACGATGATGACGCTCGGGTTATAGATGATTTTGCTGCTCTAGTTGTAATCGTCGGGCTATGATACGACTACCTTTCCGTTACTTCTCTAGATTTCGGTAGGAACTGCGAGCCCGAAGCTCAAGTGTCACTCAAGTTAATGAGCCCCAATTAACAGTTCCTGTTAGTCAGAGGACAGTAAATGATTTCAAAATCGCCTAGTCCGCTTTGGGTAAGCCACTTTAGTACAATTAAGTACTTTTCGAATAATTATAGAACACATTTACGAAGCCACCTCCATACCTTAACCACAGACACCAATAGTGACATCTATATCAAATTTCGGAATTATCGCTCTATACCTTCACCCATCACCAATTTTAATGCCATTTTTGTAATTTTCGTATAATTATAGGACACGTTTCCATACCACTACCAAATGTCATACATAAGTAGCGTCAGTAGTCTAAATAAAAAAATTGACAATTGTATCCCTATCCCTTCACCACAAAAACCAAATATAGTACCATTCAGTACTTTTCGTACAATTATAGTACACATTTCCAAAACGGCTGCATATGTCTAGACTACACATAAACAACGACCCTAATAACAAATTCTAGCTTTCACCTAATACCAAATTGTTCCAAATATTGCACTATTTAGTACTTTCAATGAACTTTTAGTACAGATTTCCAAGCCCACCTTTTTATCACAGACCTACCACCAACAAGAACCCCAATACAAAATTTCAAAATTCCAGCTTCGTCCGTTTACCCCAAAACAAAACTGTTCCAAATTTAGTACTATTTAGTACAGTTTGCACACTTAGTACACATTTCCAAAACCATCAATATCAAATTTACTTTCCAAATATCAAAAATACTTTCCAACCTTAATTCTCATATCAAAATTTATAGCTCTATCCATCCACTTAATACCAAATGGTACCATTTTAGAACTTTTCGTAATTTTAAAGTTCGAATTTCTAAAAACCCTTTGCTACATCTATCCTGCACTCCATCAGTGGCTCCCATTCCAAATTTCCAAAAACCCCGCCTTATCACATGCCTACGCATCAAGACTGGCCCCCAATGCAAAATTTCGAAATACTTGCTTCAGCTGTTTCGTCTGGGCGTTGATGTTGGTCAATCAGTAGTAGCCAACCTCCCCCGTCAACCCAAACGAAAATCATGTATGTACCCACCATAGCAATGTCAATGAGAATTATTTCGCATGCGTTGTTATGATGATGATAGTAAATGTGTGGCTATTCCACGTTGTTAATCCCAATTACTTGACAGAACAAGTGAGTTGTTGATGTAAATTTAGTTGGAAAAAATGGCAAAAATATAAAAAACGCTTGAAATCGGGATATATCCTTGTATGGGGCTAAATGAGAAAGTAGACCGATATGATGTATATTTTGTATTTATTTTCTAGATCTGTTGTAAATTTTGGAGACCTATGCCTAAGTCTATATAAAGGACTCTGATAATGAGTATAGCCTGAATACCCAAACCCCTTTAAGTTTTGAACTACTAAACCTCCACTTGTAAATTCCAACCCCCCAAATTGGCTGTGACACAGTGTTACATGTGACTCCAATTAGCATCGAAGCCACCCCAATACACAAACATACATCACTTTTCAAATATATCCAATATCTTGAAATATGGCCGTTGGCTGTGCAATTGCAGTCATGCATTTTGGGAATTGACAATGTTGTAAATCTTTTTGGACATTTCTCTTGATCTTCTTGCAATTTTTCTTTTCATTGACATTGCTTTCAGTTGGAATTTCGTATTGCAAACATACTTGGATATACATATGTATGGAACATGTGTACAACGGACAAGTTAAGGACATAAGAATACATGGCGAAGACAAATGTGGACATTACAGTTAGCTTTTGTTTTTTCCTTTTTTTTGTGAAATATCTAGTGCCGTTATTTGTTAAAAAGTCAAGTCAAAAGGGAAACATATAACATACACAAACATATTTTACACACACACACATACATGAGAGAAGATTAATTATACTCTGAGGATAAAATCCAAATATGTGAGATTCATACAAACGATGCGAAATTGCCCACCCAAAAAAGAACATTAGCGTGGGCTAGCATTTTTTCTGGGAGTATTATTTGCTTTTACAAATGTTGTGAAATCGTCAAGATAATATTGTCCCATATAAAAATGTGTATTATTCCTTCAGGAAAAAATATTAAAGAAAAAAAAAACAAGTTATAAAGTATCAGTCGATTTTACCGATACTTCAGCTAATAGAGATGAAAATATTGGTATGAACAATTCTCCTCAGGTTTCTGGTTGAGATAAATATTTAGATATAGCAAGTTGTAAAGAAAAGCCCACTTGTTTTGCAAGTTATGACAGATAATAATATTGAAAATTGTGACCCTTTTTGGGTGAGGTACCAGAAGGGGTTCGAAGATATATATCATCTTCACAACAGATCTTGTGTTAACAAAAAAGTTTGAATTTGTAAAATTTGGATGCTTATTTCGCTTTCTTCTAGCGTTTTGTTTTTCAAATCCTGAACTCTACAGGGTGAGATAAAAAAAGTGCAACAAAGTCAAATGACATAATTTTTACATATTTTTTAAATTTTATTGAATGAAAGTAGAAATTGTCGGATAAAGCATCAAATTTTAGAATAAGTTTAGATTTGTTCGAATTGGTCACCTTTGGCACGAATTATGGTCTTCAAACAGCCAATAAAACCGTCACACGCTGCCCGAATGTTGCTCTGATCTATTTTGGGCCATTCCCTGTGAAGCCCTTGCTTGTGGTAATCGCCACTTTGGTATTTTTCAGTGCCAACCTTGTTTTCCAAAATACTCCAGTCACAATACTCCAACGGATTGGTATCCGGAGATTTTGGTGGTCATTGTGCGCTGGAAATGAAGCAAAAAACCTCATTTTGTAACCATTCTTGGGTGGCGCGTGCTGAGTGCGATGGAGCTGAGTCCTGTTGGAATTTCCAAGGTCTGCGGCCAAAATGTTTGCATGCCCAAGGCTTTAATACACCCTTCAGAATATTTTCGCGATAATATTCGGCATTTATTCTGATGCCACGGTCGATTAATACGAGCGGAGAGCGACTATCTGCTGTTATGGCGGCCCACACCATCAGCATGGCTGGCGCTTGAGTTCTGGTGGCCAACCGAAGGTGCACATTTTCAGCTGACCTCTTTGGCAAGTAGACACGATCATTTTGTGTGTTTACAAACTGCTGGACAACGAATGTTTTCTCATCGGAGAAAAAAAAATTCGGCGGTTCACCACTTTCGGCCAAGCGAAGCAACTCTTTGTGGTGTAAGTTCTTGCACTTTTTGGAATTTCAATGGCTCTACCCCAAGCTCATTTTTCAATGTTTGCCAAATAGAATATTGCGAAATGTTCAGTTCACGAGCCATTTTTTCGGCCACTGCAACGCGGTTTTCGATCAAGTCGCTTCTTTACTTTTCGAACCATTTCTGCTGATGTTGCTGTTTTCTTCCGTCCACTTCATTGACGTCGGGCTACGCTACCAGTACCACGGTAACGAGCGATGGTACGAGACACAAAAGATTTATTCACATTTAAATGCTGCTGCTCTAACGATAACCACTCGCGGTTTTCCAGCCAAATATAAAGAAATCACACTATCACGCTTGAATTCCATCACGAATAACTTTTTTTCTGGAAAATGATCACCAAAATGTTTTTGTACGCTTGTAAACAATAAAAAGAGCTGTCACTGGAATAATTTTAGCAGCTGTCGGACGATTGACTTAGAAATGACAGCAGTCTGAAGTTGGTTGCAGTTTTTTCATCTCACCCTGTATGTGGGGAGGTGCCTGAAGAAATTGTCTGATCTCTAGCATTTTTATAACAGATGTTGTGTTGATGGAAATATTGAGATGTATCAAGTCTGAATGGAATCGGATGTTAAATTCGCGTTTTATGAGCTTCATATATATATTCTAAATGTTGACCCTTTGTGGGAGAGGTACCAGAAGGAGTGGGCTGACATATTCCATTTTTACGGGTTAATAAAAATATTGTGATGTATGTAATTTGTAGACAATCAGACTCGTTCATCATATTTTATAAGAGTTATAAGTATTCAAAATGTTGACCCTTTGTAGGGGATGTACTTGGTGGAGTGGACAGACATTGTCCATTCTCTCACCTGACTTTGCACTGTTGCAAATATTAAGATTTTCAAAGTTGGAGCAAAATCGATTATTGTCTCTCTTTCTATGCAGAAATGATATTTTTTGAAAAGTTCGCCTTTTTGTGGGGGAGGTACCCGAAGGAGTGGACCCAAATTGTCTATATCTGAACTCGATCTAAGTTTGATAATAATATTACGATGTACCAAGTTTGGAACAAATCGGATATTCCCCTCGGAGTTATCGTGCCAGCCAGACAGTCGGACGGACATCGCTGGATCGACTTCAAATGTCCTGAAAAGGATTTCGTCAAAAGAGATCTAGGGTCTGAAACCGTTATTTCGATGAGGCACGTTTTGGCCGTATCTGCCCGAGGGTATAAAAAATAATTTATCCTTAGCTCCATTTTCGCTTTGCCACTTTAATGTCCTTCACTACAACAAAAAAAAATTATAAATAAATGATTTAACTGGACAATGGCATCATTACTTAATGATTAATGACACAATTAAATTTCATAATATGACATTAATAAATGTGATGTAAATGTTACTCTTGTTGTTGTTTTTGTCATTGTAACAATCTCTCTTAACGGTATAAACCATTAATTATCTCAATCATAGCCCTTAATAAGGCTTAAGGACATGTTGTCTTCCCTTCCCTTCCCTTCCCTTCCCTTCCCTTCCCTTCCCTTCCCTTCCCTTCCATTATCTTTCTCATTTTATATTGCAACAAATAAATCTCCTTAAATTACTTAAATTCTTATTTTCTTTCTGTTTTTTTTGTCTTTATCTTCCTACAGGATGAACGTTTTAATTGCGAAATCGATACTTTGACCGGTTATCGTACAAAGGCATTACTTTGTATGCCAATCAAGGACTCATCGGGTGATGTCATCGGTGTGGCCCAAGTCATTAATAAATTGAATGGTGAATGTTTCTCGGAAACTGATGAAAAGGTAAGTTTGAAAAAAAGAATGAAAGAAAAAAATATGTTCTTGACCTGTCGACACAAGGCGAACACAAACACACACACACGAACAGAGAAATCTATAAATATGTTGTAATTAATTTTTGGGGGGTAAAATGTTGAGGATAGCAAATAAAATTAACTCTGGCATGTGACACATAATTGGGAAGGTGTTCTCTTCTCAATATCCTGATTATTAAACAATAAATAATTGTGAAAGGTTCAGTGGTGACTATTTTGCGATATATAGACCTCCAGATTTTCTTTAAAGCTGCCTAACATGAAGATGATGATTTTGCCTTATTTGGGGCGAAAGTAATTTAGAATTTTCCATTTTTTACTTTTAACAAAAAATCACTCCTTTGATCTGTAAAAAATAGTTTTCGATTATGACTTTTCAAACCAAAATCGATTATAGACATTTGAAACTCCAGAATTAAGTCGATTTTTGTATTTCTATAAATTCTGCACCCTAATCTTGGGGAGGCTTCTGGGCCAGAAGTAAGAAAGTTTAACAACGATCTATCAAAAAACTGTCCGACCATTCCGTAGTTTGTGGCTGAAAATATTTTTCGAGTCATCGCCATAGCTGTAGATAAAGTTATTTCTGCTCTTCGAGAGTAGAGTTCGAAGTTCCATTGGTTGGGAAGGATAAGCGAAAGTTTCGCTCTGAAGTACGGCAACATAAAAACAAATATGAATTTTGAACAAATTCTTTCAGCTGATTTTGAGTCACGGATTAATAATGAGAGGACCTCCATTTCGTGATACGATCAAACCTTCAGTTCGACGAGCAGCCCATGGAGAAAGAAAATCGTCACCTCAGTTTGTGATGGGTGAAACTGCGATTGTCATACAAAACTCGAATTTGCCCAAGGCGTTGATATCTAAGGTGATCATAGCACAAATTTGGTCATTTTCACTTGGGAGCGTAAATTGCTCGCGAGTAGGTTTGCTCGAAAAATGGGAGTTTTTTTACGGAGTCTATTCTTTACATTTTTGTTTTGTGCTCTCTCCAGTTCTTGTGTACTCCTCTTTGAAAAATTAGAGTTGTAGCAGAATCGCTCAAAATAGAGACAAGAGTTTGTTCTAAGAGTGAAAATGAGTGGACAAATCTGATTTCTGTATGCAACTGCAAACCGGTGTTAATGTGTCTGTGTTATGTAAAGATGGAGCGAAAGGATAGAAGAAGAATTTGTGGAGGGGGAAGATGGGAAAAGGGGGATATGATCGTATACAGAATAAAATGAACATACAGCTCGATTTCGAACGAATTTCGCTTCCACTCAAAAACGAGCAAAACATGCTCACTCCTACTCGAGTGACATTCGGAGTGCTCCCGCTCGAATTCGATTAAGTTTCACTCTTTGTTTAAATTTTAGCGAGTTTTTCGCATATCTGATGGTGGCATAAAACAGGTGTATAGCCACTAGTTATATAACTCTCCCAAATTCTCAAAGTGTTATTGGCAAAGCTTCGAAATTCGTGAGAGAAATTTGCTCAAATTGGAGCATTTTTATTTTTGTCAGCAGAGAAAAGTTTTTTTTTCCAAATCATTTTCATGATTTGAATTTTCATGAATAAATTTTTCAACGTAATTTTCCAAAATTTGTCCTGAGAGCTTTTACGGCTTCTACCTCTGGTAGCTGAACATAGTCTGTATAGGTCCATCTTTTCCTGTAGTTCCAATATTACGGTACTTTTGGATATTCGATATTTCGACGATTTAAGCATCTATGGATGAAAGCTGAACGTTGATCGTTGACGGATCCAAGTTTGGAAGGTATGTTAGCAGAAATCGGATGAAACATATCTATGGGAGCTATAGCTATATCTGAACCGAATTTGAAGTATGTGCTTCTGGCCTGAATTCTCTCGGATGTAGCGAAATCTATGCCACTTGGAGGAATATTAAACAGGTGGCGCACAATAAAATTGAAATCGGACGCAAGTATACATGGGAGCTATATCTAAATATGAACCAATACTCCCCAAAATTTTTAGACATACTTCTGAACCTCGTTATGTTTGCTAAAATTCATTTGATTCGGACGGCTATATATATGGGACGGCTATATATATGGGACGGCTATATATATATATATATATATATGGCTATATGGGAGCTATATCCGAATTGTTTATCACCAATTTCAATAGGACTCGTCCTTGGCCCAAACAAATCACTTGTATGAAGAATTCATCTCAGTCAGACAATAAATGCGACCTGTACGTTGCTTACAAAAATACATGGACACATTTTATGAGAGATATAATTATTCAAAATTTTGACCCGTTGTGGAGATGGCACCAGAAGGAATGAGCCAATTTGTAACATCTTCAGAACAGATCTTGTGTTGATAGAAATATCGAGATGTGCCGAGTTTGAAAGGAATCAGATTCTCTTTTCAAGTTTTACAAGCTTCGTGGTTAATAAAAACTTTGAACCTTCATGGGGGAGGTACAATAAGGTGTGGATCGATATCTACCACCGGGTCTTGTGTTAACAAAAATATTGAGGTCTGTGAAATTTAAAGACAATTGGACTCTCTTTTCGCATTTTATTAGAGTTTAAATTATTCAGAATTTTGAACCTTTGTGGGGGAGGTACACGGTGTAGTGGGCCGATATTTTCTTTTTTCGCACTTTATTTAGCACTGATACAAAAATTGGAATTTGCAAAATTTGTACAAAATCAGATGTTTTCTTCCTTTTGTGGGTGAGGTACCTGAAGGAGTGGACCGATATATTCCATCTTCACACAAGACCTTGGGTTAATATAAGTATTGTGATTTGGGTAATATGAAGAGAACCGGGCGCTTATATTACATTTTATAAAAATTACAATTATTCAAAATTTTTACACTTTGTAAGGGAGGTACATGATGGAATGAACCTGACCTAGCACTGATGCAAATATTAGGATTTGCAAAGTTGGAGAAAAATCGGATTATCCTTTTCCTTTCTGTAAAATATGTTTTTGTATACCCTCCACCAAAAAAGGTATGGGGGTATATTAAGTTCGTCATTCGATTTGTAACTCATCGAAATAATCATTTTAGACCCAACAAAGTATATATATTCTTGATCAGCGTAAAATTCTAAGACGATTTAGCCCTGTCCGTCCGTCCATCTGTCCGTCTGTTGTAATCACGCTACAGTCTGAACGAATTAAGATAGGAAGCTAAAACTTTGCACAGATCTCTCTTTTGTCTGCAGGCAGGTCAAGTTCGAAGATGGGCTATATCGGTTCACGATATCGTATAGCCCCCATATAACGGTACCCCCGATATTCGGTATTTTGATGATGTTAGCCACATTTTTCAATTGAATTGTCTGAAAATCCACACAAGGAGTTCCTTGTGGGTACTTTATACCTAGACAGAGAATTATCTATATAGGTCCACAATATCGTATAGCCTCCATATAACGGTACCCTCTGGTATTCGGCATTTTGATGATTTTAGCCATATTTTTCAATGGAATTGTCTTAAAATCCACACAAGGAGTTCCTTGTGGGTACTTTATACCTCGGCTGAGAATTGTCCATACAGGTCCACGATATCGTATAGCCCCCATGTAACGGTACCCCCACGGTATTCGGTATTTTGATGATTTTTGCCACATTTTTCAATGGAATTGTCTAAAAATCCACATAAGGAGTTCCTTGTGGGTACTTTATACCTCGGCAGAGAATCATCTATATAGGTCCACAATATCGTATAGCCCCCATATAACGGTACTCCCCTATATTCGGTATTTTTATGATTTTAGCCACTTTTTCCAATGGAATTATCTGAAAATCCATACAAAGAGTTCCTTGTGAGTACTTTACACGCAGACATAGATTTGTCTTTATAGGTCCACAATATCGTATATTCCAACATATATCGGCATCTTCCTATATTAGATATTTTAAAGATTTTAAAAGAATTTTTATTGGATTTAATTTTTTTGAAAATTTTCTAATTCGTTCCAAATGGTGGAGGGTATTCAAAGTTCGGCCCGGCCGAATTTACTGCTTTTTTACTTGTTACGTATCAAAAGGAGTAGGCCTGCATTGCCCATTTCCGAACTCGATGTAAGTTTGATAGTAATATTATGATGTACCAAGTTTGCAACAAATCGGATACTTCCTTCGAGAATTGTCATGCGCACCAGCCAGACAGACAGACGGGAGGACGGATGGACATCTTTAGATAGACTACAAATTACCCGAAACGGAATTCATCCAAAGAGACTTGGGGTGTAAAATCGTTATTTCGATAAGGCACGTTTTGGCCTTATCAAATGATATATACAGAGTAGCCCATATTCGAAGGACCCATCTGGCAACGCCATAACTTTTGACAGAGATGTCACATCGCTTAATGACCTACCGCGTTTGAAGCGTCAGTCCAAGCAGATTTTTACCATGAACCAATACACGCCACGCGAGCGCTCTGAAATAGTTGAAATTTACATTCAACAGAAGAAGTCAATTGTGAAAACTCAACGTGCTTTTAAAACATTAAAAAATGTGAGAAGTGCGCCTTCTAAGAAATTTTCGACTGGTAAGGCTCTTTCTAAACCGAAGAGGCCATATAAAAGTCGACCAAGGCGATCGGCCGAGAATATCGCTGCCGTACGAGCCAGTGTTGAGAGGTCCCCAAGAACATCCCAAAAACGCCGTTCTCAGCAGTTGGGCATGGCTCGGTCCACTTTACAACGGATTATTCGCAACCCTGTACCCTCTGTACCCATAAGGCTGAGAGTATAATTAAACCGTTATTGATTCATGAACTTATCTAGTCTCCACATTCCTCGCACATCCGCAATTCTCCTTTGAATTGCTTAACATCCTTTTAAATGTTACCCGCTTTCTTAAAAACTTCTGCTCCTAAACTATTTACTTCTAAAATTACATGCTTTTTAGTTTAGCTTTGTAAACTATTTCTATCTCCCCTATCTCTACAAACCTCCCCGTACCCAATGGATTTTGAAAAATGTAAACGAGTGAAGACATGATGTTGCTGTTAAAACTTTCGAACACAAATGAAACATGACCATTGAGTTTTTGGAACGGAGGGGGCAAACTTTAAGGATTTGCCAAAAAGGAAAGGAAAAAACTTTTTCGTGTAGAACAACTTTTGTAGTTTTCAAAACTAACAGCATGAAAAATTTAAGCGCAATCATCAGAAATAAACTTCATGCTCACTAAAGGGAACGAAAGGTATGTGTAGGTGTTTGTGGTAGATAGGCGAATTAAAAAGGCACTTAAGGTCTAAGACATACCACACAGCATCGAATTCAGGTAACGGGTGGGGAAAGGGGGATGAGTAAAACCACTAATTGGTTGTAAACTACTTGAAGTGGGTAATTGATTCAAAAGATTTCAATGGGTAATAGGTGGTTGGTTTAAGTTCTGGGGAAAGGAAAGATTGTAAGGAGCTCTAAAGAAATTCATTTCCTTGAAGGTATTCGCAAAAATTGTGAATTCTTATTAAAAACATATTTCATTCGAATATCCTTCTGCCTTCACCTCGTATGACCATTACTCACGACAAAAATCACCTTCCAAGAACAATAAAACCAAACCTGAGAAAAACTTTCCTTTCACATGCCGAAGGTTTTTCCTCATCGTTGAAACAGCGAAATTTTCCTTTACTTAAGCAGCAGCAGCATAATGAAATGTCTACTTTGCATTCCCTTTCTTTTAATTATTACGTCTCTCATTCTCTGTCATTCTTCCATTCAAGGTTTTTGCTTCCTATTTACAATTCTGTGGCATTGGTCTACGCAACGCTCAACTCTATGAGAAATCCCAGTTGGAAATCAAACGTAATCAGGTGTTGCTCGATTTGGCACGCATGATATTCGAGGAGCAGAGCACCATTGAGCACATGGTTTTTCGTATACTAACCCATATGCAGAGTCTAATACAATGCCAAAGAGTACAAATCCTGTTGGTGCATGAGGCTTCAAAGGGTAGCTTTTCGCGGGTATTCGATTTCGAAGCCAATGACCTGAGCGAGGAGGAGTCAACGAATCGCACCAGTCCCTATGAGTCGCGTTTTCCCATAAATGTGGGCATAACGGGTCATGTGGCCACAACCGGGGAGGTAAGTAGCCATCAATAAAAAAAACATTTATTACCCTCTCTTAACTTCTTATTTTATTCCCTATTTCTTTAGACTGTCAATGTCCCCAATGCCTATGAGGATGATCGTTTCGATCCCAGCGTAGATGAGGGTTCCAATTTCAAACACAAATCCATACTCTGTATGGCCATCAAAAATTCATTGGGTCAAATTATTGGCGTAATTCAGCTGATTAACAAATTTGATAATTTGGTAAGCCTCTTAAGCGATTTTTCATTAAATCCTTTGGGTTGCTTTAACTAATTCTCCTAATTTTCTCTCACTCTCTCCTTTTTCTCTTCTATCGCCAAACAGGTCTTCACCAAAAACGATGAAAATTTCGTTGAAGCCTTTGCCATTTTCTGTGGCATGGGCATACACAACACCCACATGTACGAGAAGGCCATTGTAGCCATGGCCAAGCAAAGTGTTACACTGGAGGTATTAAGCTATCATGCTTCGGCAACAATGGATGAGGCTCATCGCCTAAGGGTAAGTTGTCGAAAGGAAGAAAAGTTTTCTCGCCTTTGTTTTGTTTAAAGGATTAAGGATTTAAAATGAACGTTGAAAGGTTTCCGTTTCCTTTTTGGAATTAAAGAGGAGTGAAATGTAGTTAAAGATTTGTTTTGAAATTTGGAAAACGAAAACCATCGTTAAAGGACACATTTTACAATAATGCTAATTTCGGTGCTCATTAAAATGCCATTTCCGAAATGGGTTGATGTGTCAAAAACTTGCAAAAGAAAATTTTTTAAATTAAAGTAAATATATCGACAACGATTTCGCTAAATAATCCAAACCAACATTTTATATTTGTCGTTAAACATTGGAGATTTGATCATTTGCATAGCAAATAGGGTTATACTGGAAACAGTGAGTCCATATTGAATAAAATTCTGCAAAGAGGTTTTCTACTCAAAATTGTTCCTTAGGTGAAATAAGCAAATTAGCAAAATATAATATCGACATTTATTTTTTTTAGTGACACCTAAAATTATGCAACAAATAATAGCAACATTTTCCCAAATGACTTGATAACTGCCGCAAGTACAAGCAACTAGATATTACCGTCTTAAGGTACGGTCACATTGGGTAAATATTTGATCGAAATTTGTTTTCCCATATTTGACTGAACAAATGTGAAATTCATACAGAGTCGATTCGATGTTCACATTACAGTCAAATATTTGACAGATTTTGTTTGTTCAAGCAGTCAAACAGTGCTATGGGAAAACATGTTTGACACATGTTCACATTCGTAAAATATATATTCCCATTAAATTGTTTGATCAAACTGTGAGGAAACATAAGTTTATTTGGCCGAGAGAAATAGACAGAGAGAGAGAGAGTGAAAAAGAGACATAAAGAAAATGTAGTTTCGGGTATAATTTATTTGGAGAAGGGAAGCAAAAGACAAGCTGTTGTGGAATAAATTCCTTGTCAGAACAATTTTTTTTTTTTGCATTTTTGTTTGTACCATGGTAGAATAATACAGGTAGTCACATCGACATAGCTGCTGGGACAATGAACTGTCAAAACAAATTTGGAATTGAAAATAATGAATGAAATATTATTGAAATTTGTAAAAATTGTTGAAAAATATATATCATTGCAACCTCCGATTTTTCGCCGTATAGGAAAACATAGAAAAATCTACTTATGTTTGTCAAAACATTTCAAAATTTTTGACATATCATTGTTTCAAGCGTTGATGCATCTTCCTATATCCTGTTCCAGAACCTGCAAGAATCTACTAGTTTCGCAATTTTCTTCGATATAATAAAGGGAAAATCGGTTATCGTAGTAAAAACACTTACATTCTCGCAGTTCTAGAACAGACCAAATATTAACATTTTTTACTAAACATTCAAATTCAGTTAATTCAAAAATATCAAATAAACAAAGCCACTTATTGCATTCGTTTGTTTTTCTATTCATTAAACATCATGCTACAAATGCTCCTGTTCTTAAAGCAAAATGCTGTCCAATGTTTTAAACTGATATTTTTCCTTGTTTGACCTTACAAAACATTTGCACCGTCAAATAAATGTTTGACCAAAAAATAGGAAAATAATTGATCATATATGTTCACATTATGGACACATTGGTCAAATTTTTGTTTTCCGGCAAATAATTTTGTTTTCCCAAAATCAGCTGTTTTTGTATTTACCGTCAAATAATATTTGGTGGTCAGATTGTGACAAAAAAATATTTCACCTTTTTCGTCAAATATTTGCCCAATGTGACCTTACCTTTAGTGTTCAAAATCATCAACGCAACTTTCTAGAAATGTATTTATCTTCAAAATAACCTTCGATCCGTGCATCGATGTACCCAGGTACATTTTGGACGTGTTAGACGACAAAGCCGTTATGTTAGTTCCGAACGAACTTTTAATACCACCATCTTAGTAGGGGGTTTATATCGCTTGAGCGATATATATTATTTCAAAGGGTCGAGTGTATCGTGGTTTCTTCGTCGGCTATAGTAAGCCGGGTCTCCCCAAGGACCCAATAAATCTCATGAAATAAGAAGACTAAAGTTTTCCCTTCCCAGGGGTTGGAAATCAACTATACCAGGGTGGTATAAAACTCCATCATAGTATGGAGGGTATATTAAGTTTGTCATCCCGTTTGTAACACCACGAAATATATAGCATAAAATCCCATACTTCGATGCCCATTCGCTTCTTAGTCTGAGGAAATCACTCTAGCTTCACAACGAAATGAAGTAGGTTTATAAAATTTTACTCAGTTGTGTGCAAAATTTTTGGTATTGAAAATGGGCTAAATATGTCCACTTCTGGGTATAGTACTCATATAACCTTTTTCTTTGGATGTTTTAGTCGCAATTTTGATCCGCATTTGCTGTAAATTGGCAGCATGTGTTGTAAGAAACATTCTTGCTTAGAGCAGTCAATATAGGTCCAGATATAGTCACATATTAAAATACCTCCAGATATTTGATATTTTATATAGTATTCATCCGAATTGTATCAAGTTTCGTGTTTGAAACCTGTCCTGATGGGTACTACAGCCTGTCACCGGAAATTGTCTATTAAAAGTACTAAAGTACTTTGTTTTGGGGAACCAGTAGAGCTAGAACTCTTAAATTTTGAGATGAGAGTCACTGATGGACTGCAGGATATATGTACCACAGGGGTTTTGGAAATTCGAATTTTTAAGGTTAAGAAAAGCTCTTAAATGGTACTAAATATCTAAAATGGTACCATTTGGTATTATATGAACGGAAGAGCTCAAAGCTTGAAATTCGGTATGAGGATCAAGGTATTAGAGTACCTGTTGGATGTTACGATAAGGGTTTTGGAAATGAGTACGAAAAGTACTAAATAATACTATATTTGGTATTAGGTGAATTTTCAATTTGGTATAAGGGTCACTCTTCATGTGTAGACTGTAAATATGGCATTGGTTCCGGAAATCTGTACTATAATTGTACGAACAGTACTAAATGGTAAATGTGGTATTAGGTGAAGGCGTAAGGATATAATTCTGAAATTAGATATTTAGATTTCTGATGGTATCTTTGTTTGAGATTTTGCAGTGGTTTCTAAATGTTTCCTATATTTGTTTGAAAAGTACTAAATGTTACTAAATTTGGTATTGGGTGAAAGGATTAGGCTAGAATTTTCAAATTTGATATTGTCTCTGCAACTGAGATATGAAGTAGGTGTTTGAAATATATACTATAATTGTACGAGAAGTATTAAATGGTACTAAATTATTTATTGGGTAAAGGATAGGGCTGGCTTATGTTTGATATTTGAAGCGATTTTGCAAATGAATCCTTTATTTGTACGAGAAGTACTAAATGGTAGTAAATTTGGTATTGGTTGAAAGTATAGAGCAGTAATCCCAAAATTTGATACTGAGGTCTCTGTAGGTATGTGGGATTGAGACATGTGGGTGGTTTTGAAAATGTGTATTATAATTTTAAGAAAAGTACTAAATAGTACCATATTTGTTATTGGGTGAGGGAATAGGGCTGGAATCCTAAAATTTTATATTGAGGTCTCTGTTGGTATCTGGAATTCAGATATGGATGTCGTTTTGAAAATATGTAGTATAATTGTACAAAAAGTACTTTGGTATTAGGTGAAGGAATAGAGTCAAAAGTCACTGTTGGTGCCCGTAGATGAGAGAAGGAGCTCGTTTTGGATAATTACGCTTAATTTGGTAATGGGGGAAATTGAAGAACTGATTTTTGATGTCAAAGTCATTGTTGGTATATGAGGTGGAGATATGGAGACTGTTTTGAAAATGCGTATTATAATTATTCGAAAAATACTAAATTATACCATATTTGGTATTGGGTGAAGGGATCGAGCTGGTATCCAGAAATTTGATATAGATGCCACTGTTGCTGTCTATAGTAGGGAGAAGGAGTTGGTTTTGGAATGCGTACTATTATTGTACTTAATTTGGTAATTGAGGAAATTACAGAGATGAAATTTGATATTAAGGTAACTGTTGGTATCTGAGGTTGAAATACGGAGATTGTTTTAAAAATTCATACTTTAACCGTACGAAATTACCTAAATGCTACTAAATTCGTAATGGGTGAAGAGATAGAGCTTAAAACCCAAATGATATGGATGTCATTGTCGGTGTCTGTAGATGAGAGAAGAAGTGTTTTTGGGTCTTAGGATAGAGTTGGGATTTTGAAATTTGACATGAAGGCCACTGTTGGTATCTAAAGTTGTGATATGGAAATTGTTTTTAAAGTTCGTACTATAATTTTTTGAAGAGTACTAAATGGTATTAATTTTGGATTACTGTTGGTGTCCAGGATGGAGGGATGTATATTGGTTTGGAACTACTAAAAGCCAAACATTTACTTTCGACTCCGTATTCCTAGAGTCAACAAAGGAACCAAATGAACGATCTTAACTGGCTTCTGAAAAATTTCGCGAATACTGCCTTATATTGCCCTTGTCTATTTCACGTTCCCAAGCAGACTGTTTATATATTCCCAAAATTAATTGGTTAACGATCTGCTATTTTGTCTTATTCACCTATTAAGCATGTATAAGTTCCAACTAATATATTATAAATTGACACATTTTGAACTCAGGACATCTCGTTTAATAGCCCGTTAAGCATTTCCCAAAAACCACCGAACTTGTGACCACTATTTGCCTCTTTATGTACCTAAAATGTGCCAACAAGATGGCAAACACTTAAAACCGACAGCTTCTTTCATTTCTCCTTCCATTATTCCTTAGTTTCTTTTCACATGACAACGAAAGGATAAACCCATGTCAACCGAGTTGGACAAGTTTTAAATTTGTTAAGAAAATCCTCTATGAATATTTTTCGGATTACGACAAACACCAGTCTGTCGTTCCCTAAGTGGATTGTTGTGTGTTTAGCCACAAAACTAGAATTTATGGTTAAATTAGTTTTGTTGTTGTTGTTGCAAGGATTTTGGGTTACTTGTTCGAGAAAAAAAAACATTTTTTTCCGGAAGCA